GGGGTCAAACCATGACACACGGGCTGCGGGGGGTGAAGATGAGGATGGTGTCAGAGGAGGGATGCTGCCCCGGGGCGATGCGGGGCGAAGCATGAGCCCAGGGTCCCCACGTTGTTCGGCCTCAGGAGTCCCCCGTGCTCGTGATATGTTTTGCATTGGAGAAGCGGTGTCGCGTCACCAAAACCAGCCGCGTGTCACCGGTCGCTGACTGGGCAGTGCATTTGCAGACCCTTTCTGGAAATCCCACGTGGGTTCTCGAATTGGTCACAGGCCATCAAGCCTCAGGCAGCAGAGGTCCTACAACCCCCAAATATTTTCCTAAACTACGCTGGGGCACACACCCTTAAAAGCAGACAGGCCCATGCCATCTGCTTCTTTTTTTACATGATAAAAACTTGCTCACATGGTCACCCAAGATGCTGCCTCTTGACCTGGGTGCCTCAGCCCCTGCGGCGCCCTGGGGCGTAGCTGCCTGCCTGGGATGCTTGAGCCAGGAGCTCCCCTTCCCACCCTCTTAGGGGGATCTGGTCCTCTGGGTGTCTGTGAGCACCCTGAAGGCAGCCACCCCAGAATACTCCGCCTGGGCGGTGTCCCTGGTAGGGGTGCAGGTGCTTGCAAAGCCACGCCAGACACGTCCACGGGAAACTCAATTTGTGCTCACTGCTGCTGAGCTCCAGTAGAAGAGCTGAAGTTACTGGGAGGACTGGGAGAGTCCTGATGCCCCAGTGTCTGCCAGGCACCCCGAGGCACTTGGAGCGAGGCACCGCTTCGAAAGCGTGACCCTTGCTGGCGAGGCCGGGGGTGCCTGGGGAGCGTCGCTGGGTGGAGAACTCACCTCGTGGTGTTAATTTGCTGGTTCTTGGCTTTGCACCGGGTTTCAGATTCCAGCAGGGGTTTGCCAATTTGCCTTTTTTGTTTTGTTGCGGTGCTCTGCGATGGCCACACTGGCGGTGGGGGGCTCGGGACGATGCCTTTGGCTTCCCCCCTGCTGTGTCTTGGTGCCACCAGTGCAGGGGTCTCAGCCCGGCCACCCAAGCCGGGGCAGCTCTAGGTAGGCACAAACACCTTCCCTTTTTGCCAAACTTTGCAAAGAGCGATTTGGATTCCGCTGTTGTATAAAAAAGGGCTTGAGACCCCACTGTCGGATCTCCCGGCGGTTGTTTCTGCCGTTCAGACGCAGGCTGGATTTGGAGGGGGCTCCGTGCAGCAGGCTGGGGCTCTCCTCGCTTTCTGGGGCCACCAAACGCAGCTGGGTCGGGACGTCAGTACCTGATGTACAACAGCTCCTTGACCTAACGATGCTCTGCGAGAACCCCCAGGTCCAAAGCAGTTGCGGTTCAGTCTGCTTCTACTGATGAGTCTGAGCTCCACGTGGAGGCATGTGCCAGCCCCTGGCTGTCCCGCAGCACTTCTGGCCCCGACAAGCCCTGTCCCACCATGTCCAGACCCCGCAGCCTTTAACCACCTGGCCTGTGCTGAGCTCGGACCCCATCACTGCCTTCAGCCCAGCCCTTCCAAGCATGCAAAACCAGCAGCAGCCCTTCTTTCCAGCTGCTCGGTGAGGTTTTGCTGGGAGGACTGGAAGCCCTGGGCAGACCATCATGTCAGGAGCTGCAGTGGGGTCACAGGCTGGCACAGCACATCACGGCCTGGACGGGAGCGATGGCCTTGTCCTGGTTTCGGCTGGGATAGAGTTAATTTTCTTCCTAGTAGCTGGTACGGTGCTGTGGTTTGGATTTAGGGTGAGAATCATGTTGACACCACAC